AGAGTAAGGCATCTTTTCAGCGCTCATGAAAAAATTCAACATAAATACCTTGACTTTATAATAATTTACTTAATCTGGGATTCTATAGCACACATACTCACCTATTTCAGAAATTTATAAAGAAAGCTGACAGTTGTCCTTTTCCTGCCAAATCAGGCAATCAGTGTGATTCTAGTTGTAAGTATAGGTATGTGTGGACAGATAGGCTAGTAACTTCCATTAATTTAAAAGATGTATTTGAACCTCACCACCCTTCTCCGCTAAGAATCAGAGAACTCCCAAAATGAGAAAATTTACACGAAGTGATCAAACTTGTAGAGCATATGGGTTAAATATGATATAATAAAACATGCAGACCATTTCACAATATATAAACAGCATTAAGTTTTTTTTAGAAAATATATCTCCTTTATCTAAAAGAACAAGCCAAACAGAGATGTTAACTAATCATCTGACAAATTCAGCTTAAACACAGAAATAACAGTATTAAATTGTAAAAAGAAAAAGGTGTAACTAGGAAATGGTATCCTTCCACCCAAAATACTTCATTATGGGATGCACTTTAAGATTCTATTAAAAATGGTATAAAGGTAACCAGGGAAATATAGGCGGAATGCCAAAATGCACCAATAATATACTTGATTACAAGTATATACACTCAACACAAGAGTAAGGTCTAATGAATTAAAGGGGGCTTACTTACATATAAGAGCCAGTGTGATGTAGTGGTTAAGAGCATGGGACTGGGACTCAGATGATCTGGGTTCTAGTCCCCGCTCAGCCATGGAGCCAACTGGGTGACTTTGGGCCAGTCACAGACTCTCAGCCCAACCTACCCTCACAGGGTTGTTGTTGTGGGGATAAGATGGAGGAGGAGAATGATGTAAGCTGCCTTGAGCCCTTTGTAGGAAAAAGGCAGGATATAAATCAAAAAATAAATAAAAATAAAAAATATGACTGCATTTTTAGTATTGCATACGCAATTTGTTAAAAGGAGTCCATAAACTGGTATCCACATTCCAAGAAACATTACAAGAATATAAGAATAATTCTAGCTGATTCATTATCACCTTCTTTCTTTGGTGTAATGAGTTTTAATAACCTATATATGCCCTTGTAAAGAACAAATTTAAATTGTTTCTTAACATATTCATATTAATGTTACAGTTACATACACTACTTTATATAATGAACTGCCATAAGAACCAGATCTATACAACAATTGTAAAAGCAAATGCTTACAAAGGCAGAAACCATGATAGAAAAGGCCACATTTGACCACAGCTCTGAGTTAAAACTCACAAATAACAAAACAATGTTCTATATTTTATCACCCTGTTGATAGAAAATGATTAAATAAAACTAATCTATGTGAAGAAAATATTTACTCAAAAAACTTTTATGTCAGTGTTATACCAAACTTAGAGGAAAGGTTCATTTACTTATATATTATTTATTTCACATGTGAAGTCTGAAACTAAGGAATGAAGGCACTTTTTGGATCAGAATTTCTTACTAGATTAACCGCAGTGCTGTGGCTGTTTACAATGATGGCTGCAGAAAGATTTTTTTCTGTCTCACCAACCATAGAGTTGGACCATAATGGTTCATTTCACTCTTAGCTTTGAAACTGGGTAAAAAACCTTCTTATATTTGATGGTGACAGCTGTTCTACAGAACTTCTAACATCTATAACTTTTTTTTTTTTTTTTGAAGACTACAGTTTTGGGATGCTTTAGACATCGGGGCGGCTTATTTTATATTGTATATTTGTAAGTTATTTTAATGTATATATTTTAAAATGTTATGACGATTTAACTTATTTGTTGTAAGCCGCCCCGAGGCTTCAGCGAATGGGGCGGCATAAAAATGTTTTAATAAATAAATAAATAAATAAATATTGCTGCTTGAAAAGCTATTGTTACAGAACCCTTTTACTCAAGTCAACATTACTAAGGTTAAAATAGTAATAGCATATTAACTTTATTGGATTCAGGGTGTATAGGTGAAATCACAACAAATAAATAAGTTTTCAACTAAAGTAGGCATTCTAATTAAACATGTTCCCTATTAGCTTTCCCAGTCTTCCAGATGTTTTAGACTAAAGCTACTGGGATTCCTGACCATTAGTCATGCTGGCCAGGGCTGATAGCAGGCCTAGACCTTAACCCTAACCCTAAAAACATCTGTAGAGAGCTAGACTGGAGAAAACTGCTTTAAATTAATTGATGTAGCTACTGATCAATGAAAGAAAACAGTGAAAGATGAAAGCTCTCCCACACTAGAGGAATTCCAAAAGAAACTGGACAATCATATGAGTGGGATGGTGTAAAATGGTGACCTGCAACAGCATTCTTGGCCTCTTCCAACTCTACTATTGTAAGATGATGATGATGATGATGATGATGATGATGATGATGATGATGATTTGTATTTTTTCTTTTTCTCATTCAACTAGCAAAATTTTGCTTTTCTTCTCAATGTGCTGGCAAATGCACAATGAGATGATAAAATAAATAACTTATTGTTCACTGGGTTTATACTTACATCTGTGATTATATGAAGAAACTTTCAATTATATGCTATCTACCTGTATGAGTAGTTATTCTACATTATGTAGAGAATATACTACAACCTCTAAAAGCCAGTATATATAATCAATAATATATTTCTCTTAAAGTGTATTCTAATAGATTGCTAATAGGTTGTTACTTTATTGCATGATATTAAGAAAACAGCTTCCTGATGTATAATGACCAAGTGCAAGTATAATGATAAAGGCATTGTTTGAAAGATTGCTATTCCCTTTCTCCATCCTTTGCAGGCTCAGATTCCATTCCTTATATCCTGGCTTGGTAAAACCATAGCTTGTCAAGATGCATGAATAAGCAAAACATGGTTTGCACAACCCATAATTTGCTTTTATACCATTTTACACAATGCTTTGACATTGGCTTCTAGTTCTGGTTTGGAGGTAAATTAGGAAGCAAGAATCTGATGGAGTGGTAGATGAAATAAAGTATGTGAACCGTCAACTCATTATTCTATTTATTCTAGTGTTGATATCCATCCTTTCCATGTGAAAAGCACGCAGAAAGCCGCATACAGGATTATAAGCTACCAACAAAACAAGATAAATAAATTCTAAAGAGAGCATCATGAACAACCAATAAAAACTCATCAACTAGATACTCAAAACACACACATCAAAACAGAACCGTCTCTTAACCGACACCTTAAAAATAGGCAAGGAAGCTTCTCAAGCAGCACTCTCATCCTCTCCAGCTGCACCTTAGCTGGCAAAAGAACATCAAGAAGGGTCTCAGAACCCAAGCTAAGATCCTGAGCAGAATCATATGAGAGAATGTTATACCAAATTTTATAACTTTACACCAACTCATCTGCTCATTATATTATAGTCTTCATATTGCCCTGACTATTGGTTTGTATGACTAATGCTACTACAGTAATACCTCGGTTCATGAACGCTTCTGTTTGCAAACAGAAAGTTTGGCAAAATTTTGCTTACATTCGCGAACTCCACATTGGGTGACGAACACAATCACAGCCATCTTCTTCGCACGAACACGATCGTGACCACCTTCCTCACACTGTGACCATATGTAAGAGCATGTCAGATGGTTGCATTTGTGTTCATGTGGGGAAGATGGCCGTGTTTGTATTGGCATGATCACAAACGCGGCCATCTTCCCCGCTCTGACACATGGTCACAGCTTCCTCTAGTCAAGATCGCGGTTGTAGACTCTCCCTCCAAACAATAACCTCCTCTGCACCCACCTTCCTGTCCTCCACGCCAGAAGTCGCCTCAAGCAAGGTTAGTGTTCTCTCTCTTCATACTGTACTGTACTTTGTTTCATATTTTTGTGGTTAAAAAAATTACATATGGTTGAGAACTGAGTAACCTTAGTTTACATTGAACCTTATGGGGAAATTTGATTCAATTCACAACCAATTCAGTACACAACCAGAATCGTGGAATGAATTAAGTTCATGAACCAAGGTACCACTGTATATTATAGAAATTAAGGCAACTGCTTAGGGATTTTGAAAATAATAATGGTATACAAATAATGCCAAGAAATAAATAAGGCTGAAAAAACATGGTAGGTACACTGACTTTCAAATTTATTTACAAAATAAAAAGTTAAGCAAATAGAAATAGATTATGTGTATCAATCCAGAACTGATATACTTCAGTATACATTATCATTGTGAATGCTTGGCTAGTTAGAATCCAATGTGGGATTCTAAATCAGTGACTATTATTGAATATGGATATTGTAAAGCACTCATTACAAACAGCAGCTTGGAAGGCAATGCAGGCACAAGTATTAATGGGGTAGCAGATAATAAAGAACATCCTAATATTTAAACTCATGGTATGCAGATACTGAAAACTATGTATAGAAAGAAAAATCATTAGAAATAAATGGGAAGTGTCCAGTATGAGGATGCTTTAGGGCATCCGAGCTCAGAGGCTCACAAGCTTCCAGAGTAGAGCAGGGGAAGCCCAGGGAGCAGTCTCTGCTCCCTCCTGCTCTGCTATTCAGGTACACATCCAATTTTAGCCATGTTGCTCTGGTGCCTGGGATGCAGGGAGGCTTGAGTTCCTTCAGTGTAGGTCAGTCTCCCACCCCACCACACACACTCTTTTGTCCCTCTCAGAGGTCAATTTTGTGACTCAGTCATAGTTCTTTCCATGCCAAGGGGCAGGAGGAAGAGGGAGATCAGTATCCTGGTTCCGACCTCAGATTTCAGAATCTGAAGTATCCTATGGCCCCTAAAAACCATAGGATGGTCTCTCTCGAATATTGGAAGGGTATTTTTAGTCCCAGTATGCTATACAAAATGCTCTAAGATTTATCTTCTTGCACATTTTAACATTTGCTGCTGGTTAACTGAAAGAATAAAAACAAATAGCAAAGAGAGCCCATTTGTCACATGAATATTTGTCAGCACCAATAGTGGTAATAACCTACCTGAGTTGTAGCAACAGCAGTAGTTACAGAGGGTGTAGAAGATGGAGATAAAGTTCCCACTTGCTGTACATGACCAGAAGATTGCTGAGGTAAATGTGAACTGGAAACAGGAGTGCTAGATCCTGAGCCAGACACAGCATTTGGAAATGACACTGCTACTTCATTACTGCTATAAATGCCTGGAAAAAAAACAAAAAAACACACAAGTGTCTTTCTGGAGTCATTAACTAATTTAATTACTATAGAAACTGGATCCAAGTAAGATCTTGTGTTGTACATTACATAAAATAATCACTTTAAGCAGCTCATTAAAAGCATATAAAAGAAGTAAAAGAGGCTCAAACAGGTTTTATGTTTGTATGTGTGTTAGGGGCTTGTTTTGGTGGTGATTGTTTTGGCCTGAGGACTTAAAATTATAATTTGATAAATATTTTAAGATTTGAAAATAGTTAATCAGTCATACTGTTATCCAGAGTAACAATTATGAACAAAACAGATCAGCTTCAACTTTTCCTATAATAAAAAGTAACAATGTTTTTAAAATGATTTAAATACCTATTTAAATACATTTTAGAAATCAGAGCTGCCTTGAAGAAGGGGTTGGTTAACATTTTGAACTTCTATTTACACCCTTCCTCTGCCCATTCCATAAAATGCTGGAAAAAATCCACCAAATGGATGGTGAAGCTGCTTGGAGGGCAATCACCCTCCACTTGTACACCTTACCAAAAGAAGATGCAGCCTGTAAAAAAAACTATCAAGCACTTCCTCAACACACTGTGCACTGCAAAACATTATGGACAAGCCCTCATTTTATTTTGGAACAAGTGGCTACAGGCCAAGTGCAGCACCTACCTCTCTTTCAAGGGTCTTTGTTTTAGGAATGGCAATGATCAGGACAAGGGCGATTGGTGCATAGCCCTCTGAATGCTATATGAAAGAAAAGTCTAACAGCCTTCTTATGGGAATGAAAATTTATTTTTGCCTTTTGCAGCACCTTGCTTGGGGGGCAAACCCAGAAAGATAAAAGATAGCATGAAATTGTCATTTTCACTTGGCTACCATGGTAAGCCCCTGAAAAAAAATCTGGACAGTCCTCATTTAGTAATGAGAAGGGATTTTGGTCAAGTAAAAAGCCAGTGCCATCCTGGCCCTAAAGAGGTGCTAGGCAGCTTCATGAACTGAGGTAAGGGGGAATCATGCAGAATGAGAGCAGGAACTCATTCATACTCATGAACTTTCAGTTCATTCCTGCTCTGGACAAGAACAATGATTTGCACAGATGGTACATTCTTTACCCACTGTATCAGCCTTCCTTAATCTGGTGTCATTCAGATGCTTTTGACTTCAATTCCCAGCAGTCTCAGCCAGGACTGTTGGGAGTTGTGGTCCTAAATATCTAGAGGGCATCATGTTGGAAAAAGGCTTTATTTTATTAAGTAATAAGGTGAACTGATGAACAAATTAGAAGTGGAAAAGCCAATGATGGACTAATGAGAACTCAAGGAGGGGTGGAAGAGCAGTGACTTGGGTAGAGCTAAGGACTAAGATGCTAATTGTAATAACACAGCATGTCTAATTGCCAGTTAGCCACTTAAATAATGCAATAAGAGGCAGATACCACATGCCTGAGGCTAAAACTGATACTAGTGTGTGTGGGTTTTCTAATTTCGAGCTAAGACATCAAAATACTCATGTTGAGTTACATAGCTTTTTTAAAAAAGTGATTATTAGAATTTTTCACAGCGGGAAATACCTCTCAAAAGTTCATATAAAGTGTAGATAACTAGAAAATGTCAAAACTGAGTCCTGTAAATGGAGGAAATGGCAACAAGTGAACATAGTCAGGTAACGTATTTCCATACTACTTAGTCAAGAAACCACAAAATCTATCTGGCTATGAGAGTAAATTATTTAACCCTAACAGTCAGTTCTGAAATTCTATTTTACCATCTCACTGCATCAATATTGCATGCATTTATTTTCAAAATAAATATCACTTTAATTGAAGTTAATGAAACTATCCTTTGATAACTTGGGCTTTATGTTGATGAACACATAAAATGATGTATAAAAGCACAAATCTTTACATGTTTATACAGCAAAATGTAATGGGAATGCTGGAAGTTGTAGGACTATTTTCTATTTAAAACATGCATACGGCTGTGCCCTAAATATTTACTTTGTAATTCATTTCATTGCCTTTTAAATTTTCAAGGTCATCTTCTATCCCAACTCCATATAATATTACTGTTATACAATGCGTACATTTACTGGTACAAAACTTGTGGGGAAGTATGAACTCTGGCCAAGTTACCTTTTTTAATACACTAGCAAAACTGTTTTATTGAAAATATGAATAAATAATTACAAGTCTTTCAGGAGCAGAAGTCTTGTAGCAACTTAGAAACTAATAGCTTTTTGTGAAATAAGTTTTCATATACAACAGGCTACTTTTTAGACATTGTTCTTCAAGCTATATCACAGAAACTCTCTCCACGGGGTTTGGCAAAGCTATCCTTTAACACTGATTTTTTATTTAGAACTCATGATGAAACCAGATTTTGGTTTATAGGATCTTTCATTTTGGGCTCATAAAATGCCACAGTTTTATTTAGGAACTGAGTAAAGCTCTGTGTTAAACAAAGAATGGGTGGGTGTCTTCTGTACACCAGCTATCTTAAACTTCCATAGTAAATGCATTCTTGGAGTATGGATCCTCATGCAAACGGGGAGATAGTACCATCTACACATGTGAGGGAGGTTATCAGCAGGTTTGGGGGGAACTCATGATTTGCAGAAATTTCACAAAATCATTCAGGGAAAAAGAAAACTTCAGCAAGGGAAAAACCCCAAAGAACCCAGTGAGAACAGCAAACTCGATACACATGGAATCCTGTCTGTTGGAGGGAGGTCAGAATGGTGAGGGTGAGGGTCCTGGAAGAAGGCATGATCAGCATAAAGCAGTTCATAGTGCAACATTTTGTAAAACAGTCCCTATCTTTCAACTGTTCCATAAATTCGATCCTAAACTTTACTAAACTTCGTAGGACTTACTTCTGAGTAAGCTTTATAGGATCAAGCTCTAAAAGCTCTGAACATTGGCTTACCAATGCTCTGTTCCAAAGTATAATGCAAGATTTTTCCAATCTGGTGCCATAAGATATTTCAGACTCCTATCAGCCACACCAGCATGACAAATTGTTGGAAATTCTAGGAGTTGTAGTCCAAAGTATCCAGAGAAAACAAAACTGGAAAAAACTTGTATAATGCAACATAAGAGTAAATTAAAAGATCTTTAAAAAATAAACATTGTTACTGCTTCACAATGCTGTTTTTCTAAGCTTCCAGTTTTACCTATGGACCTCATAAGAAATAGGGAGAATGGGGGAATACAGCTTTGCATTGTGTGATCCTTTCTTCTTTTGTTTTTTCATTATCATGTTGTCCATGGGGTCACGATGGGTCAGCCACTACTTCCGACTTTGCAACTAACAACAACATCTCTTTATAGTGATGAAGGAGGACCTTGAATAAAGACTTCCAACCTGTGTTCTGTTCCATTAGCATTCTGGATATTCAGGGGATCCAGTGTAGCAGAATATCCTGCAGAAACAGGTACTCTCCATGCTGCCTGAAGTGAATCAGCTTGTCTCTGAACACAAATAATGACAGTTTTCTCTCCTCATCAAGTTGGACATAGTAGGCCCTATATAACCTATGCAGCCAAAGCAGCTTATCAGTCTTAAGTAGAAGGACTATTCTGTTTTCTTTTCCCAACTGCTGCATAGGATGGTGACCCCTGCTTCCCTTTAACCTTACATCTGATTCTGCCTCCTTCAGTTCTCTATTGTTGCTCTAGAACTTGATCTTTTGCTTGACTGTGTTCCTGCCTCTAGTAGGGCAACTGTTCTCTGACCTGACCATTCAGCATCTGCCCTCCAGCTCATCTGTTATCTCCATACATCAACATCTTCGTCAATCACCCAAACAAACTTTAAAGCCTGCCTGAACTTCATCTTAGCAGCTCATTCATTTGAATCAGACAGACAAAAAGAAGCACTTGCCACAGCAAGGAAGAGCAGTCCCAGTCGCCAAGGCATAATGGGAAAGTGTCTTTGCTGAAGGCTATACTCAGTGCCTGAAATTCAGTGAACACAGTTTTCTACTTAATCATTTATCCCTTTTATAACTTTTCAAATTATGTATCATCTAAAACAGGAGCAAGCAGAAATTAGACCTCTGCATGTACTGGACTTCATCACCCAGCATTCCTTACCATGTTGAAAAAGACTTCTGACATCCAAAATTTATTCATTTGAGAGCCAGTGTGGTTCAGTGGTTAAGAGCATGGGAGTGGGACTCAGGTAATCTGAGTTCTAGTCCCCACTCAGCCATGGAGCCAACTGGGAGACTTTGGGTCAGTCACAGATTCTCAATCCAACCTACCTCACAGGGTTGTTGTTGTGGGGATAAGATGGAGGAGGAGAGATGATAAGGCTGACAGGAGGAGGAGGAGGAGGAGAATAATGTAAGCCACTCTAAGAGTTCTTAAAAAAAAGAAAAGGGCAGAATAAAAATGTAATAAATCTGGATATCTACATTTTGCCCACCCCTAGAAAATAACGCAGCCATCTTTCGTATCTTTCAATAGCTGGAGGGTACTTTTCTTGCGATGATTTAAAGAGAGAGGCATATATTCTATTAAGAACTAGACTATAACTTGTTAGCCATCAACTTTTGCAGATTCTATCTACTCTGCTAAATCAGCCAAAATTACAGTAATCGCTAGCGTTCTTTTCTACCTCCTTTCCTCCATTCCTTTCCTACAGTGCTGTTCTCTAAAACAATGCTCTTGCTCCACACTGCCTCTATCTTTTGGGGCCAGTTCAGATGATCCCTGCAGCCCAGGGTGGCTTACTGCCATTTTGAATATTCAGTCTGCAGCAAGGTGTTGCCATAGTTTGTCATTGAAACCTGGGTGGAAAACCCTACAAAAGGTCATGGGTTATTGGAGGGTTGTTTCTCCCTGCAACCACTAATGACCACTCAGGACTTAAATATATAATGTAGTGCATGGGTCCTCAAACTACAGCCCGTGGGACGGATCCGGCCCGCCATGGCCATCCATCCAGCCCGCGCTGCCATTCGCCGCCCGCACATGCACTAGCTGCAGCCT